CATGATCTATCATATTCAGGAAATATGTGATTTTCTTTTGAAAAGAATATTTCAGCCACCATATACAAAAATGATATAAAGTTCAATTGAATGGAGGATACAATCAAAAGAGATAGGACAAAGTATATTTCACCAAAAGTCTTTTTCACATATGATCTTCAACAAAATGGTGAGATATAAATTTAAAGATGCATTCAAGTGATAATATTGTAAATTTATTCACTAAAGATCGTCATCATCAATATTTGAAAAATTGTGATACAAGATTGGAATGCATTGTTTATGAGATATCAAGTAAATTTTTTATCGGGGAGAAAAATACGTGTTGTACTCTTTTCTTTAACCATGTTTTTATCCCAATTAGATTTTTCTGATAAGGTTATTAACAAGGAAAAATTCAAGTGTATTAAAGATATATGTAATATTTTTCCTTCACTGGAATTTTTTCCACATGGTTTTTTTCTAATAAGATTTTAACGAGGCATATTATCTATGGACATCCAAGAGGGAGTGTTGTAAAATAATATATTGTGGATGTCCACTACATCAAGAATTTATTCCATTACTTTCCTCCATTATGAAGATAATCATAACTTCTGTAACCTCCACCTTTATAATTATTATTTTTATAACTTTTCACTTTCATAAGCTCCTGCATTATATTCATGTTAATGTCATGTTTATGGCTAACCTTTTGAATGCCTTTATGCTACACTATAAATAGAGGCATAAGGGTTCATGTTGTATACACTTGAAGATTTGGTGAACACTTGAAAGAAAGAAAGTTATCTCATATTGATCCTCTTGTGTCATATTATTCTTGTCTTCATCTTTATAATATTCTTTTGTTCTTAAATTTTACAACATGTCAGTATTAATATTGAGTTTTCCTTACCCTCCCTCTAAATTGATATGAATTTCATAAATAAATTATGTTTTTCTCCAAATAATTCTTTGTTAATCTCCTCCTAAATTTGATATGAATTCCATAAACTGATTAATTTTTTGTCCATATAACCCTTCTTGCCCTTGAGCACTCATCACTTTTGTTATAAACTTTTCAAATGAATTTTTTTCTCAGCATATACCTTGTATGTAGAATTATGGTGCAACATTCTTTCCAAAAGTCTTTTATTTTGAGAAAACATTTTTTTCAAATATATTTTTCTTTTATTTGTACTACAAAAATATTAATGATTGTATTCCAATATAATCTAACTTAAATATGAATATAATTTGTGAAAGAATACAAGATTTAGGGGGGAAATAGCATAAAAGTAATACAATATATTGAGGAAGGATGCAATATTCTTAGAAAAAAAAACAATTTATTGTGAAAGAAATAGAAATACAAGATTATGGGGGAAAAAGCATACCTAATGAAAATAATACAATTTGTTTAGGAAGGATACAATATTTTTAAACAAATACAAATTGATTGTGAAAAAAAAGATACATCTAAACTTAGAAAATAAAAATCTGCTTGGCATACCTATTGAAACGACTACAAACTAAAAAAAATGTAATGTTCTTAATAAAGATACAAATATTAAGTAAAAGAAAATAATTAACAAATAAAAACTAATATGAATACAATTTTTGCAACTTTCTTCTCTTCGTCTGAAATGTTCCTTTCTCGATATTTTATTCACCAAATCCAAATATGTATTCACTTGTGCATTATTAACATTATATGCGAAATCTTGAAATTATTAAATATGAATGTATAAAATAACAAATAATATAGGAAACTTTCACATATAGCCACTTAAAAATAATTAATTACTCTCTATACCTATAGTTTGATAATTACAATTTGTAGCTTCATGTTATTTGGAGGAGAGAGGCGAGCGAGACTGGAGAGAGAGGACAAAGGCGAGAGAGGGGGGGGGGAAACAGTGGGAAAAGGTGAATTTTATATGTATATTAGTTAGATAATTGTATATTATACATATGTAATTGTATATATGGCAAGAGAGACTAGGAGAGGGAGGAGAGAGACGAGCGATACTGGGAGAGAGAGGAGAGAGTCGAGCGAAAGAGGGCAGAGAGTGGGAGAGAGGTGACTTGTATATGTATATAACTGTATATTATACATATATATTTGTGTAAATGGCAAGCGAGATTGGGAGTGAGGAGAGAGGCGAGTGTGATTGAGAGAGGGAGGAGTAAGGCGAGTGAGAGAGGGCAGAGAGTGGGAGAGAGGTATATTGTATGTGTATATAGGCTAAAAAATTGTATATTATACATATTTATCTGTATATCCTGGCGAATTAACATATACAAACATGACTAATTATACAAACTCGAAGTCAGCCCACGTAATTAATGTATAATATTAGTCGCGAGTGGTAATTATTGCAAACTATAGCTATGATGAGTAATTAAATAGTATAAGTTTGCTTATCCGCGTAATTTTCCCAATAATATATGATGTATGAATGCCAATTACATTACTACAATCTACAAAATCTCAAATATGAAAATAAATCACGAATTCTAGAAAAAAAATCAGAAGCTACGAAAGAGAGAGGCGGAAGATAAAAACATGAAGAGCAACTAGAAGAGGAAATTAGATGATAGAGAATTTTATTTTACTTTTTTTGAAAGAAATATGAAAGAGAATTGTTGACAAACGTATGTTTTGTTAATATGGGGGAAAATTCGTGTGTGTGAGAGAGAGGATAGAATGTGCAGAAAAAAAATAGAGAGAGAAAAGTGGGTAAAAGAGTCTTTTTGGGGTAAAAAAGTGAGCTCAATTTGAAGAAAAAGGGAGGTAAATAAATTATAAGAAAAATTGTATATAAAAGCAAATTAATAAATCAAATTAAATGTTATTACTACACTTTGATTTAAGGGAAAAGGGTCAAAATTACCCCTCAACTTTGTTTTATTTGTTGATTTTACCCCTGCCTTTAAAAATAGGTTATTTTTACTTGTGTCGTTAATAAACTCAACAAATATACCCCTTCTTGAATGAAAACCCCCCAAATCAGTTGAAATTACCCGATTTTTATTGAAATTATCCAAAAAAAATTAACCCAAACCAAAGCCGACCCACTAAACTAAACAAAACTCATAAAAAAAATTAACCCATTTCCAATCTTCTTCATCTCAGTGTTCTTCCCCTTCTTCTCAATGTTCCTGGTTAAGTACCCAAAGAACACACAATATTTATTATAGCTAACACATAAATCGTACACTGTCTATTAAAATCAATCGAAAAGACTTCAAATTGTTTGTTGAAAGTTGACAAGGCTTCAACAGCTGCCTTGTGAACACACCAGTAGCATGACTCGTCAAAATTAGTAGTTTTTTTTGGACATTCTGATTCAACACCATTGATGGGTACGACTACTTTATTCTTGCCAACATCCCATCTTCTCTCAACCCATTGAGAACTTCACAATTAACACCGACAAAGGCAAACACAAATGAAATTTTTTCCCAATGAACTGAAGAATAACTCTTCTAATGCTTGAAATACCATAATTTTTATGACTATTCAAACTAAATACAGGACAGTGATGGCTTCTTCTCATGGATCGAAAACAAAAAGAGCCCAAATTGAATGCAGATCTACATAGTTGCTCTTATTGAGTTTGTTTGAGTTATCAAATGCAAAAACCCCAACTTCGATACAAATTTAAAGGAGTTGACAGATTCTTGAGTCACATAAAAAGACGGAATCAGTCTTAAAATTTTGGAGATGATATTGTGTGGCAAATAGTGTGCAATCTAAAAATGTGACACAAATTGGGAATTGTTTCTCTCTTTTTGGGAATTATAATCTTGGTTGATTAAGTATATTTATTTGGGTTATTTAGTTAGATGGGTCGGATATGGTTATATCTGGTTATTTTTTAATAAAAATCGGATAATTTTCAAATTGATTTGGAGATTTCCGTCCAAGGAGGATATATTTGTTGAATTTATTAACGGCAGGGGTAAAAATAACTTACTTTTAACGGTAAGGGTAAAATCAACCAATAAAACAAAGTTGAGGGGTTTGACCCTTTTCCCTTGATTTAATTGTGCCCTGTAGCAAACTGTTTGTCAGTCACCTCTCTCCCTCAAACTCTCACTCGTCACTCTCCCTTTCTTTCCTCTCTTTCCCTGCTCCCAGATTTCGATGTCACCCTCGCCTCTATCGCTTACACAAACAGAAACGAAATGTATAAATTGTATTTCTGTTTGTATAAATCGAGAGAAAATTATATATACACCTGCAAATACATATATGTTCGTCCTATACACTTGTAATTATACAATACAAATATTCCCGTACCAATTTTCTTTCTCGTTTTATACATATACAAATTATACAATTGGTTCCTTTATATATGTATAACGAATATACATATTTTTGTTTGCTATGAAGCGCAACTATGTAAACTTTGTTATTAGCATACAAATATGAATTTTGTATTTACTATATGTGAAAGTTGCTCTTATTATTATACTAGGATACATTATATTTGCTCAAATATTGACATTTTTAATAGTTATTTTAAAATATAGATATTTTTAATAATTATGTTAGAAATATTGACTAGTTTTCTAATTTTCCATAAAAAATGACAACTCAACCCCATTAAGGGTCACGTCGGCCTAACGGACTTACTGTCTTGAGCATCTAGGATTGACAGATCATGTTGGACAATTGAATTAAACAAGGCTACGTTGGTAGATGTCTCATTTCAAATTAGACGAGAGATGGATTCTGCAATCCTTCAAACTCAAGCTACAAGCTATATACCAACCTCCTTATTAAATCTTTTTTCTTTTTTATTGGTCAAAAAAACAAGAGGTATCTCTACAGCATATGCTGGGGGTGGGGGGCAGATATTTATGGTTGGTCTGTGAGAACTACTATCACCATCACATCATCACGATGGGACCTGGTCTTATTATTTTTAATTTTTCTTTAGATAACAATTTGCATGTCATTGGATTTACAACAACCACCACTTGACAATAATAATAACAACACAAGAGGGCAAGGAGAAAAAATTGGAACATAAAACATGCGAAATGTGCTCCACCTACCAAACTCTTGATAATTTATTGCTGTATTCCCCATCAAATACAACAAAATACAAACCTACTTGCAAATATTACAGACCCTAGAATTCTGCAACCAAAAAGACGGCAACTACTGTAACCGTCTACTGCCCTATGGTTTCCTGGATTAAACTTACAAAAACTATTGTACATTTGTGGCAAAAAGACACTTGCCACAGGGAGACCAACCACCAGAGTCTGGCCTCAACTACCTGCTCACATCCCCTTTACTTCTCCAAGAATCATCCTCTCTCATAATGCTTCCCGCCTGCCCACTAAATTGTTCAGCTTTCGCATAATGCATTTTTATGGCAGCCACCGGATCTGACACCACACCACTGCACTGCAGAATCCCTCCTCTTCCGACAACCACCCCCCTTGCTTGTTGCGGAATACCAACAACATCAAACCCATTTCTTCTTTGCATCTCAGAGAATACTGCGTCTTGCCTCTGTTTCATCTCTATTGTAAAAGGCTGCACATCTCGATTTCTGTACACTTGATAATCTGATCCTGCTACTGCACTGTTGCTACTTGAATCTCTTGCTGCAAACACAGGGGGACTGTTCAAATTCCGCTCAGTCGTCTTCACAACCCCATGCAAACTAGGCTGCTCCATTTTGGTGGAAGATAACCCATAGCTACCAAATGCCGCAGGATATTTAGCCAGCAGGATAGCAGAATCGGGCAACGAAGAAAACCCTGTCTGAATTCTACTCCCATCCCAAAAACCAAAACTCCTCAATGGATGATTCTCAGAACCCAGGAAGTTATTTCGCTCGAATTTTGCAGTGGCTGAATTGCCTTCTAAACTATGACTTGCACTAAAGGAATTGCTACCAACTTTCAACATCTGATTGCTACCATCAATCGGCTCTGCATTAGAACTGGGATTTGCCTTGGGGCATGGTTTACTGAGAATCTGTCCAAACAATTTCACATCGCCATTCCTACAAGGTTTCTCCACAACTGATGAACTACTTCCTGTCTGTTCTCGGTTAGGAACCAGATCAGAAACAGAACAACCACCGCGATTCGTACCATTGCACTTCTGGAGAAAGCAAGTTGTAGAAAATGTATCTAATTGTAGATTCCTACCCACCTGGACTTCTTGCAATGCAGCTGAAGCTCTGCAGCCTGGATCTCCATTCTCCGTGAGAGTAGACTCTCCCAATAAATAGCTGCCAAGAATCTGGCAGGATTCAACCTGGGCTGACCGTGAAGTGCTTGACAAGGGCTGCTCAGCTGACTGAGTAGCATTCTCACACTGCTTATCACCAACATTCTCAAGTTCCAGCTCTGATAATTTATCAGCATTAGAAGCTTCAGATATCTGTTTCCTCTGAAACGAAATATTGCTTTCTAAGTAATTCACATCTAGCTTACACTCAGAATCAGATTCTAACTGAGTCATATTCCGGGATCCATTAAGAGGACATAATCCCCCTCCCCTAGCAGCAGCAAGACGAGAATTATTCCCAAACAACACCATATTGGGCTTTCTGTCTTCCAAAGAGCAGTTCGACCTACTTACTTCAGTTTTTTCTGCTTTTCTATTTTTCAAATCATGTACAGGCGAAGAAACAACTCCCCTGATTTCTTCCCCTAAAGGCTTGGTAGAAACTTCACACGGTATGTAAGGCAGGCCAATCTCTGAGGCATCTCCATCAATTTCAACACCTTCCCGAGAAACTGTAATCAGATCCTCATCCCCTTGACCACTTCCAATACAAACACCAATCTGAATCTCACAGTCCCTGTTAAAATCCACCTCTTGCTTATCTACATGACAGTTTACCTGAACTGAATTCTTAGACACAAGTTCAGTATCTACAGAATCCAGTTCTCCAGCCTCGTCTCTGTCATCAGAACTGGTCAAATCAGGCTTCAAAATCCCTGCATCCATACATAAATCAGATACGTTTTCCAACATCAAACTTGATTTTTTGGTCTCCATGACACAAGCATCAGGATCACTTCCACCGTTCATATCAAGCCTATCCAAATTACCAGATCCAGGAAGAATCTTATCTAATCCAAGACACTTCCTAGCCTTGCTAAAGAAGATCTTGCATTGATCACGGGATCTCGTTCCAACACATCCTGAGACCATAACAAAATCCTTTCCATAAGCTGACACAGCTTGGACGAAGGTTGATTTCTCTTCATCTGTCCAATCAGTAGGTTCCATCTCCCCACAGCTATCATCTGAACAGGTTTCATCATCAACTCTCTGGGTAACCTCAGGAGTCCGGGGCAATCTGGTCGACAAACCCACTTTCAGGTGCTTCCACTCCTGGTTCCCTTCACCAGGATCAACTGAACTCGTAATGCAAGAACTCATAGCTTCTGATGATAAGGATCCACAAATACCAGCCAAAACATCAGCAGCCACTGTTTCTCTTTCACTATGACATACATCAAGACTGTTCGACCTCTCCAACTCATTGAGTCTGGACGCCTTGTACTCATTGACCATTCGAACACTATACTTTGACATACCCTTTGGCTGAATTTCAATACTATCCTCCACATTAGCTGCAAGTGCTGATGCAGCACCTAAGATATCGAGAGAAACAGAATTAGCTTCACGGTTCCATCTTTTCCCAGAAGAAGCAACAAGGTATGTATTTGCAGAACAAACTTTTGCTTGTTTAGAGTACTCTGATTTCTTCCTTGTTCTCTCAAAACAATCTGATTTGTGATTCTTATAATAGAACTCAATGCAGTCAGCAGTTGTTTTGTGATCAAGAAAAGAAGCTATCTTCCTGAAGTCTTTCCCAAAGGCAGCAAGCTTGTCAATAAAGTTTTCTCTCTCCTCAGGGGTCCACGGATTGATCAGACCCCTTTCTTCCTCGACAGCGCAGGGATCTGCCACCAGACTGTTCTTTGAAATGAACCTTGACATTTTCCTCTCCTTCTTATCTAAAATTAAAGCAGGCATCCTTAATGTGTTCCTGTAGACCTTTGCCCCAAGTTCTGAGAGCAGCCTGCTTGCAAAGTTCAATATTTCTGATGACGGTACCAGACTTAAGCTTCCAACTGCATTGGCAAAGAAACATTTTTTTCAAATCAGTATTGCAAAGAAGACAACATGAAGGCAAATGAAGACATTAGGCATGCTAACACCAAAGAAGAAAACAGATCCACACTTATGTACAGAAGTCAGAAACAGATATTAAGTACCAATTATTTGAAATGAAGGGTATCTGAGCCGGGTGCATACGGGATCTCTCGTGTTATTATTTGGGATTTAAGACTGGGTTCGTAAGGTTGTTACTTCTATGCATGGTGTCATCACCTTTATGCCCCAAACCAGTCAGCCAACCCAAGTCATCCCCCCTAGGGACCAATACTAAAGCACTAGTTCAATTAGAAACAAACTTACAAATAATCACAAACAGATTGCTATCTATGCATGCTGTCATCACTTGAATGCCCCAACCAAACAGCCAACCCGTGTCATTCCCTTGGGACCAATAATTAAAGCACTAGTTCAATTAGAAACAAACTAACAAATAGTCACAAACACATACAACAATCTTACAATCCTTATACTTAAATACTACTGACCTTCCCAAAACATTTTAAAGAAAACCCCAACAAAAAAAACAGAAAGGGGGACTACGACGACAACAATATGCGCCTTGAAATCCCACTAAGTGGGGTCTAGGGAGGGTAGAGTGTACGCAAACCTTACCACAACCATGAGGGGGCCGAGAGAGAGGTTGTTTCTGAAAGACCCTCAGCTCAAGTGCATCAAACACAAGTAAAAAAGGACACGGACACTGCAGATATCTAAATTACAAACAAAAAGATCAAAAGCGCTATATAGGAAACACCATTCTCGTCCTTCTGAAATTTATTGCAAGCCACAATCAAATTTGAAAGGTAACCTTGCTTATATCAGACATGATTAAAAGTACGATTATTGCTGATTTAAGAGATGGAAAAATAAATTCAAATCAAAGGAAGTCGTGTCCAACACAATCCAACTTGGATACCATAAATTAGTCATGCAACAACAGTCAGGAAAACTGAGACAAACTCAATAAGTTGTCAAAAAGATATCTGGCATAATGACCAACCTAAAAAACAAAAAGCATGAGTTTGAGGTCCCCTCTCAATAGAGAATTTTAATTACTCATGCAGAAGTCAGCATACTAGAAGCAACAGAACTCCCGGAGGGGCGGAGGATACATTTAACTTGGGTATTAGGTAGTCCAGTAGGACATATAAAAAACTTCCAGTACTTTCCACTTTTACTCTTATATGTTTTCTGCCTCAGATGAATTTAAATGGGGAATATGGTCCGTGGTAGATTCATATAGCCAACCAACTTGTTTAGAATGGTGACAGTTTTTGTTATAATAGAACTTAATAAACCAACTGAAAAGCAAATGGCTATAATTTCTGCACTAGAATAACAAACAAATTTTCAAATGGAAAAAAGGGGGAGAAACTTCCCTCTCAGTAGAGAGAGCCTTACAGCAAAACTTCGGCAACAATAATTTTTAATTAAAGCGAATGCACAAACCACATTAAGTATAAAACATCCCTTAAATAATTTTGAAGTTGTCAAATTGAACAACAATTCTTTCTACAATGCTGGCACATGCACGGGAGACTGAAACTTGAAGCAGAAACTCAATCTAGATTTTAAAAATAGAGTTCAACCGATGAGGACAATACCATGACATTGACAAAAAAAAAAGGACCAGAGCATGAAACTCTCTTCCTCTACCTCCACTCTTGGTTAGTATGAGCTATAACTATGTCTGACTACTCCCCGTCTATGAACAACAAAATTGAGTTCACTTCGCTCCAAATCATCAAGACTTATAGGGCTTAACTTTGATTCACCTAACTACTCCTTAACTTTGGATCACAATGTTGGATAATGCACCCAAACCTTGAATAAAGACAGCACAAACACAAAATTCAACTCAATAGATAGTAATACCAACTTGAGGTAAGAAGCGAGTAGGGTACAGCAAAAGACCAAAAATCCAGATATTGAAAATTCTTCCACATCGGTATTTCAGAATTTAAATCTATATAACAATAATGCTTCCACCTAAAAATACGCACTCATAACATAGCAACTAAGCTAATTGTGGGCTATATTAAGAGGGGGAAAAGTAGCACAAAGAGTTAATGGTACAGCAAAGATAGAAGGAAATAACTTACCAGTAGCAGAAAATCGTGAACGAATTGTGGAACGGTGTTTTTGATGTCCTATCTGCACAGGGCGCAGACTGAAGTCAAACTTTTTCTGAGACTTTGCACGAAACTTCCTAACGGAAAGCATGCGAATATCCTCCTTCCAAAGGTGCTGATGTACCCTAAACTTTAAGGCAATTATCTTTTCTTTGAACTGTTGAAACTGCTTCCTCTTAACAAATCTTTCCTTAACCGCAGGATCAATTTGAAACGAAGAGCCTCTGACCGCTCTTGAAAAATCAAAACTGCATTTGCTAGCAGGCAGTTGGTTCTTAAATACTTCAAATGCTCTTTCTGCAGAATCTTTGTTGGCAGCTATTATCAAATTATATAAAGCATCTTTTCCACAATTCGAACTGCCATTGGAAGAGGAATCAGAATGATTTGCAGTTGGCTGGGAGCTCTCCCCGCAAGCAATTGCATCCCTTGCTTTTTCCTCGTTGAAGTTGCATAGCTTTAAATCTGAACTTCTAGACTTAGCCTTCTCCTCAGTTATACTGCACATGTTGACATTCAATCTTCTAGACATACTGTCATCTGAAATCAACATTCCACCATGTCTCATGGAAACAACAGGTTCCACACTTTTCTCAGAGGGCAATTGAACAAACTTCGAAGTTGCACTACCAGGGCTATCAATGTCCTCTACTTTCACCTCGGCCGGCTCATTACCATGTATATCAGCCTCTTCCTGTCCCATCAAATCATCTGGTATATCAACTAGCAAAGGAGCAGGTCTGGAAGCTGTATTAGAAGTAGCGCCTTGATCTTCCTGAGAATTTGCATAGCAATCTTTTGGTGGAGAACAGGAAGCAGATGGAACAAGCTGGTTATTTTCAGGTCCAGAGATAAATGTCTTCAGTTCATTCTCAAGTGAATCAATCTCAACTTCAGTTTTTTCCAGGGCCTTAGTAATATCACTCTTCCACACTATCAACTTGTTAACTGCAGTTGATCTCATAAAACCAGAGTCCACAGAATTTGGGTCCTCTGATAGTAGCAATTCATTGATTGAAGAGTTCAAGTTGGAAATTTGAGCAAGATCCCAATTCTCTAAGTTAAAACCTGATCCCTCAGAATAATACTGGGAGACAACACTGGGTGAGCCACATAAATTACCAACATCCTGATCAATGTTTGTTGCCTTGACTAATTGTTTATCCTCAAGACCTGTTAATATCAAGCATGGGCAAAAACTGTGAATTAGATACTAATCCTCTGAGCCAAGCAGAAACAAATTGTGAATAATTGTTCTTCTTTTCTTAATCTCTTATACCTAAAAGGCTCAATTGTCTAGCTCCTGGGTGTTCAACTGCAAACCCATAATTTCATATCAACCCACTTAAAAGGAAAAGAAAGGACAGCGAAAAATAAAAACCAATGCGATGACTATGGACAAGATGAAGAGCACATGAATTTTCTCTACTCAATACTGTCAATGGAAGGAGATCCCTAGGATTCTGCTACAAAACCACACTACATAGAAACATAGACATGCTTTTGTCCTTAGGCAAACAACAACAGATGGGAGCCAGCCAATAAGAGCCGCACTCTCTTTTTTGAACAATTGAAGCACTCGAAAGCTCCACTTTGAGAATATTAAAGCCTCCAAGACAGGGATATGCAGCAGTGAAGATGCAAAATATATGCTTCCACGCTTAAAAAATGTTATAAGCTAGTGAGTCACATAGAGGTGCCAAACAGACCCCATCATTGATTTGAGATCTTGATAAGGTGAATACCCAGTCTATTCAATGCTAGGCCATAATGAGTATAAGGACCTCAAAAAAAATCTCTTCACTTCATGTGTAGGATCAGCAAAGAAGCCAAAAAGAACAGATAGAGCTTAAGAGTGTCAAGCACTAGATACTAGAATTTGTTGAATAAGAGCATATCAAGTTTTTCTCAAAAAGAGCAGCATATCAAGTACTATAAATATAACATTTCAGTAACTGGAAAATTTTGTCAAACTTGTAATACGTGTATCCTAAAGGTAAAGGTTGTGTTACATATTATGCCTGTAAATACCAAAGTTCGACGATTTTGAATCAAATCAGAAATCCATGATCTTCACCCAATAATTATAATTGAAAATAAGGACATTACACTTTGCATTGAACAAATAAGCATTTTCATAAATTAATTTTTTTAGCATTCAAATTAATAGCATGTTTGGTCAAACTTCTAAAATCAGCTTATTTAGAGAAGTATTCTTCAAAAAGTACTTCTAGTGATAAGCAGTTTGTATGTTGCCACATAAATTTAACACACTTTTGAACAATAATTAGTGTTTGGCCAAGCTTTTTAAAAGTGAGTCTAGGTGTATGTTTCTCAAAAGTGCTTTACGAAATTTTGGGGAAAAGCTAATTTTTAGCTTCTAAAAAGCAGCTTATGCTACAGGTCAGAAGCACTTCTTTCTCTCAAAAACTTGACAAGCATCTCACTTTTTAGGAATAAGTACTTTTGGCCTCCCAAATATCTGGCAATACAAGCTATAAGGCCAAAAAAATTGTCGCTGTTGCTAGAACAGTGAAACACAGACCCAAAAGAATGTACAGTTCCTGACAGTTTAGACACTTTAACACAAACAACTACCTAGATACTGTCTTTTCCAGCATTCTTCTGCTCTAGTTTTCTTTTCTCAGCCTCTTATTTGTTCATTTGGCATTCCTTTAATCCTTTGGCAATTTTTGCTCAATAAAAGATCCAAGTTCTGCTCGGACCACACACTGTGAACCTAATTTCACAACATTACAATATGGAATTACTTGAGAATAATACCTGGAGAAGAACTACAAGCAACTGACGACGGTGTAGCAGGAGAGGGACAATCGGGAAAAACAGCAACTCTTGGGCTTCTATCTGCCAGGTTCAAGGGCTGAGAATGACCAGGTTCCGCACTATCACCAGATATAGAAGCTCCAACCTTTACAGCATTATCCTCAGGACCTTCAACTTTCTTCTTCTCATACTTGGCCAGTCCTTCTCCCCAACCCAGACGCGGTTTCTTCCTGGAAGATGTCTCTTCAGAGGGGGTAGCAGAAGTTACACAAGCAGTTGCATCCCCTGTAAGAGATTTAACAGCTTTCGAGTTTCCAAGCTGCAATTCAGGCTTTGTCTCATTAGAATCCACTCCCATACTTTTTGAGCTACCAGAATGACTTAATGATCCCCTTGATGATAAGCTTCCAGACCGAGTCCATTTCAATGGCCTCCATTCGATTGACCCCAGCGAGCTCTCCCTCTCAAATCTTTGCCCCACGCTTGCAGTTCCGTTAATACTACCACTCTTATTGTGCTGCTCTCTGGAGTGAGATTGATCACATGTGTTAACATGCTCAGAATGAGGATGAGAAAGACTGTGAGGCACCGCAATATCCATTGACCTCTGATCATTTGTAGCATCGTTCTGTCTTGCAGAACCACTGGGGGATGCAGCTTCCCAGGAGTGACCACCTCTCCAGTCCCTCTGACCAAAGGACCTATTTTCCCTGCTATTTCTTCCATATCTCCCACCATCCCCGCGAGATGGCCGATTGCTCTCATCTTCAACAATCTTATCATTCGAACGAGAAGGCATGAAACCATGTCCAGGTTCTTCAGGACACATGTGATAACTACCCTGCTTACCACCATGACCTTCAGCAGAAAAAATTCCAATCCCCAATATAATTAGGTTGGAAAAATCATCAGATACAAATAAAATAAAAAGGGTATTTAGAAGAAAAATGGATTTCACATGAGCTTTAAACTTGGGATAAAGCATAAACTGAGAGATAAAGAAGAAAATCACAGATCTGCATACATATATGAAAAAATATCATGAGCTTTAGCACCAGATCAGCCCTAGATACAAGCTATGTCTGGCTGAGTCATATAACTGAAACCGAAGAAATGAAAGACTACAGATCCAAGCATGAAGAAGCAATAAAATTGTAATTTTAGTAAAGTAGTAGCTTCAACACAAAAACCATTAGACCCAGAAATTTGTAGATCGACCCATAAGGATAAATTAGCGAAAGGGTATGAAAAATAAGAAAAACCCTAGATGAAGGGAAGCATAAAAACTCACCAGAAGTGGCTCTAGAACGATAATCAGGATTCCATCGTGAAGAAGTGTAGTGGTGGTGGGGTGTAGGCTCCCTCCACCGATCGTGCTTCCTCTCCTTGAAGAAGTCCTTTCGATCCCAAGGCAATGGCTCTGGCGGCATCAATTCTACCCTCTAATTTTTTTCTCCTAATTTGCATCACACGTCCCCACACACAAAATCAAACAAAACCCACAACCACCGAACCAAAGAAATCCTGAAGAATTAAATAAAGGTCCTAAAATCAGCCAAAACTGCACCAAACCCCACGGCACAACCAAAAAGAAAACTAGGGTTAGGGTTTCAGAAACTCGAAAAAAATCAATAAAAATAACAAAAAATTGAAGAAAACATTTGATTCTTGGCTGGTTTCTTGTTGGTGTGAATGGAGAATCAGATAGAGAATAAAGGAAGAGAGTGTATTTGTGTTTGTGTTGTTGATAAGGGACAAAAGAAAAGAAAAAAAAGGCAACCCAGAGAGAGAAGAGAAGAGAAGAGAGGGAAAGAAGAAAATGATTTTTTTTTTATATATATTTTATATTTTATATTTTTGACGAGATAAGAGAGAGAGAGCGCGGAACGTATGCGGATCTCAACCCACTAATTATGCCACAATTCATTCAACTTTTGCATCCGCTCAAATTTATTACCCTATTCTTATTTTATTCATATTCATATTAATATTAAAGTTCACTCCCAATTTTATTTTATTTTTATTTTTATATATACACTTACTATACTACACAAAATTATTATTATTGTTATGAAACTATATAAAATTAGAAGAAGAAAGTAGAGCAAAGAGAAAAGATCTCTTATTTATAGTATATTCAGGATTTATGGATCTTTCACAAATCTTATTTACAATGAACGAAAATCATTTATTTATACGGAAAAACTTACTTGGTCCCCTAGTAGGATTCCTAACCATATCCTACAAGAATTTCACATAATTAGACATTCACTATAACACAAATTGTTTATAACACTCCCCCTTGAATGTCGGTAGATTATGTGCCTCGTTAAAACCTTACTAGATAAAACCCAGTAGGAAAAAATCTAGCGTCCAATAATACGCATTATGGATACCTCATTAAAAATCTTGCAAGGAAAATCCAGTGTGACAAAACCTTATGAGGAAAAAAGAGTATGAGAACATCAATGCAGAGACTAGAATCTTCGTTTTCCAAGCTTGTGCACCATCTTCTTGAAAGTTATAGTTGATAGAGACTTGGTGAATAAATCAACAATAATATTACTTGAATAGACCTCTTGCGTGTTGATATCACCATTCTTGGGAGCTTATGAGTGTAGAAAAACCTTGACGAGATATACTTTCTTCTATTTGCTTTTATGAATCTTTCCTTCAGGATCAAATATTTCTGCAACTTCTACTTCTTTAAGCAAATAATCTATTGCCTTTTGAAAACTCTTCAAGAGTTTTAATTCTAGTCGTCAACTTGCATAATAATACTTGTATATGCTCTATGCATTTTGAATCTATTTAATCCTTATAAGGATGATAAACAAGTTTTCCAAAAAGTTGTATATGCTTTAGATTTTGTCACGACCCAAATCGAGCCGCAACTGGCACCCACACTTACCCTCCTATGTGAGCGAACCAACCAATACAAAACCCAACATTTCAATATAATAACACAATATAATGCGAAAGACTTAAACTCACTAATGAAAATCAATTGAATAACTTCTAAAAACTCAACAACTATTATTATCCCCAAAATTTGGAAGTCATCATCACAAGAACATCTATCTCAAATTACTAAATCTAAGAGTATCTAAGAAGCCAAAATAAATGAAAGGCTAGTCCATGCCGGAACTTCAAGGCATCAAGACATGAAGAAGAAGATCCAGTCCAAGCTAGAAGCATTAGCTCACCCTGAAATCCGGTGTAATTGAAGACTGGCTAGAATTGCGGTTGAGTTGAAGATGACGGCACGTTTGCTGCACTCCACAAATAACAAGGAAGAAAACATAAAAGTAGGGGGTCAGTACAAACACAAGTACTGAGTAGGTATCATCGGCCAACTCAAAATAGAAAACAGTATATATCAAGTAATATCATAAATCAACTACAATACTCAACATGTAGCAACAACAAATACTATAATCATTACCAAGTACCGCCAAGTTCACACATGAGGACTCAAGCCTCAGTACCATACTCATTTGGGAATTAGGTTCATTAGATTGAGTGTATTAACATCTTTCAAGATTCATTATCTTTATTCCTCTTGTGTCGGTACGTGACACTCCGATCCCCTACTACTATGTGTCGGAACGTGACACTCCGGTCCCCTAATTCTACGTGTCGATTCGTGACACCCGATCCCCTAATTCTACGTGTCGGTTCGTGACACCCGATCCCCTAATTCTACGTGTCGGTTCGTGACACCCGATCCCCTAATTCTACGTGTCGGTTCATGACACCCGATCCCCTAATTCTACGCGTCGGTCCGTGACACCCGATCCTTTAATTCTACGTGTCGGTTCGTGACACCCGATCCCCTAATTCTACGTATCGGTTCGTGACACCCGATCCCCTAATTCTACGTGTCGGTTCGTGACACCCGATCCCCTAATCTCATTCCGTTAATTCATCAAGCCTTCTGTCATACTAAGGCATCATCAATCTTATTACTTTAGTTCATCAAGCCTTCTTCCATACTAAGGCATCATCATTAACAAAGAGGTTTTTCAAGATTTAGGATTCAATAGCCTCATCATGCTTATTTTATCATAATTACATAATCACATTCATGCAAGCATACAATTTAAGCATATAGAAGGGTTTACAACACTACCCAATACATATCATTCACTATTAAGAGTTTACTACGAATAGCATAAAAACCATAACCTACCTCCACCGAAGATTAGTGATCAAGCAAGCAAATTCCCCAAAGCTTTGTGTTTTCCTCTTCTCGTTCGATCCTCTCTCTCTTTGTTCTTTCTATTTTCTTTATTCAAATCCTCTTTCTTTTACCCTAATTAGCATATAATTAAGAATAAAAGATGGCAATAATAACCCACTAATTAACTCAAGGTTACCTCTTTTAACCCCCAAGTAATTAGACTTATTAACATTAACCCACTATCTTTATAATTAAAGCAGGAATAGTCAAAAACGTCCCTTAAAACATTAAAGAAATCCGACTCAGCCTGGGATTACGCAGCCTGTGACGGCCCGTTGTGCCTGCGACGGTCCGTCCTGCTGCTCCGTCACAGAGTTCAGAGTCTCAATTTCCTTAAAGAGTCTGTGACGGTCCGTCACGCCTGTGACAGTCCGTCCTTCCATTCCGTTACGAAGTTCAGAGAGTCGATTTCAGTACCCATTTTTTAGAATTTCTAAGTGTTTTGAAACGAGACCCCCTCGACGGTCCGTCGTGCTCATGACGGTCCGTCGTGGGATCCGTCGTCTCAGCCAGTTTTCCAGAAATAACATCTGTTGTTCAAAACGACTAAACAGGTCGTTACAGATTTTGAACCCATTGGATATTTTCATATCAATTTTGTCAAGTAACAACATTTAATATTAGATGTATGACATCTTCTAGTGCCTAGATTGCAAATAAGCTTTACGTTTACCAAGATGCATCATGTCACTTTTCACTTGATAATTATTTCTACACTAGCATGCTTTAATAGATGTAGAATTCATATCCTCGTCATCTTTTACAATATTGCGCGCTATTGTGTCAAAAATATCGTCAACGATATACCATTTTGTATCGATTCACAATACGACAAAACTTATTGAGATCTCATCACTTCATTATTTTTAGGTAGTTACCCCTCTAATGAGGTTTCATAAAGTGTTATGTCGTAGGCTCTCCAAGAGCATATTGTATCCTTATTATGATCATTTTGATTCTTTGATCCTCCCCTTTTTTCAAGGATTATTTTATTTAGAATTGATTAGTCCATCATGCTTTATGCATGTCATAGACTTTATCCTCGAGGGACATTCAATAAATGTATTTACAACTCTTGTGTTGCTTCTAGTCTCCCCCTTATGTTAAACAAACTAATATATATCTCAATCTTTTGGAGAATCTATCTTTGTGCATCATTGTATATTCGTTGATTATATGCTACATACCAAAATAATCAGATGAAAAATATATGGCCCTAACCATAAATCAACAGAAAGAAAATCTGATTGGTTTGATGCATACAATTACTTTTGTATGCGGTATTATATTTCAAATCAACACATGGAGCTTTATTTTCACAGACATTGATTTCACTATCTCAGACATTTAATGTCACAACATCTTGAGTATTTATCAATATTATCAAGATAAATTGTCTTGATTACATATTTTGAAATTGTGCTCTTAACTCAATTATTTTTGCACAAACAATTTTGTGAATGTCAAACTACATGTTGACAACAAACGCACATGTGATTGTTTTATAAATACATCTTTTTATCATTTCACATGATAGGTGAACCGGCTCATATTCACCTTTTTTATTTTTCAGAATTTAGAGATTTAATCTCAACACTAGTTGATCCAATCAACTTGTCATGAGAACAAACAACAAAAGAATTCTTGAAGAATCTTCTAGTTTTTCAATGTATGTTCATAACTCAGTATGCACATCTTTCAGATGACCAAATTATTCATGCCAACTAATAAATTATTAGTACTTGTAAACTCCAATTTTTTAACTTCATGTGCCTTTTGCTAAAGTAAATTTCTGATTTACAATTATATGAGTAAATTTCAATTTTATTAATCAAAGAGTAATTTTCAGATTTATTTCTTCTCAAATACTTCACCCTTTAGGTGAGTCGTGATCCCATCATTGAATGAACTAATCTAAAGAAAATTGTGCATGTAACATCACTACTAGAAATTTGATCTACTGTCACGGTTCACCTATCGTTGCAATTGACGTTACTACCGTAGCCATAGGTCTAAGGCTACGGTTACAACAACCGCTACAACAGATCGCGTAGCAATAGAGATATTGCTACGGTTCTGTGCGACAGTTCACATAATCGTAGCCATACGTTGAGCTATTGCCACGGTTCTCATTTGAATTAATTGCTGACGGTTATGGACGTATTGTACGATTTTTAACCGTCGTAATAGAGGTTTATGCATCAGTTCTGTTAAGGCTATGGCTACAGTTTTTTTTCGATTTAACACACCATTTTCACTCTATTGTGACGGTTGTTATAGGGTATTGCAACACTTTCAAACAATTGTAGAACTGTGGCTTAATGCCTATTGCAACGGTTATTACCTGCTATTTGCAACAATTCTAATGCAATATTAGTAAGCTAATATATACCTGCTATATATATACTAAATCATTCATGAGAATCAATTTTATAACATAAAAATACACATAAATCGTTAACGAGAATAAATGTTCATTACCTTAATTAGAATTCAAGATCCGTGATTCTAATATCAATTAAAGCAAAATATACAAATCTTTTTATAGCATCCAAAAAAGGTGAAACACATTCCATAGAATTTTCAATCTTCAAAAATATATGATTTCTAGAATATCAATAAAGTTTACATCAATATATACTTCAGCTCCTATGTCAAGTCTTCACTACTGCTTTCATCACCTTCTTCGATTTCATCACCTACATATAATCAGAAAAATATATAAATAATTTAGCAAACCTCAAATCTTGGAAATTAACAAGTATACATGTTACAACCATGTATTAGTAGCAGCAGAATCAAGAGACATTGAACAGAATCAAGAGACATTGAACTGCTAGCTGCATTCAATAACATTCAACTGCTAGCTGCATTCAAACTTCTACAAGCAGCAGCAGAATCAAGAGACCAGACTACTATACTGCTAGATGCATTCAAACTTCTAGAAGCAGCGGCAGAAACAAGAGACCAGGCTACTACACATGCCAATAACATTCAACTGCTAGCTGCATTTAAACTTCTACAAGCAGCAGCAGAATCAAGAGATCAGACTACTACACATGCCAATAACATTCAACTGCTAGCTGCATTTAAACTTCTACAAGCAGCAGCAGAATCAAGAGACCAGACTACTATACATGCAGTAATTAGCTACTACGTTGGCTCGACTAAACGTAATCGTGAAGCTAGGATTCAACACTATAATGCTACAAGAAACCAACAGCAGAAACGAGACCAGCAGCAGAAACAAGAGTCCAAACTACAAGCAGTAGAAACAACACTATCATGCTACAAGAGACATGTTTAATTAACATAAAGAAGAAACCATAAGAAACCAGACTACAAGCAGCAAGTATCAAAAAAATCATGAATCTAACAACTGGTCCTCTACTAGGCTACAAGCAGCACCAGAAAACTCATGAACCAGACTACAAGCAGCAACTCAGACATTAAACTATCAGAGAACAAACAATAACTCAGACATTAAACTCATGAATCAGGCATTTACTGATCCTCTGCCTAACTTTTCCCCAACTTCCTTAGATCAATGGCATACTATTCCATTCTAATCCTATAGCAAGTAGCAACAACAAATACCAATCAAAACATAGAATTAGCGATACCAACCTTGTTTAGCCCCTTGAACAGAAGTAATTCTCTTGGTGAAGGAGTCGACAATGCTGCCAATATGTTAGGATCAATTAATCCTGCATGCTTAAGTTATGCAATAACATCTACAATAACTTCTTGTCGCACAATTTTCTTTTGTTCCTCCATCTGTTTCTCCATTTTCTGCATCCTCTCTTGCTTTTGCTGCATTCCATCAGTTGTTGCACTTAAAGTTGATTCCGAATTGCCAACTTTTTTTTTCAAAGTAGTCTTTGTAACTCCTGCGCCATATAGTCTTAGACGTCCCGGATGTTTAGGACCCATGACGCTTGAAAATGCATCAACATACTCACCATTTATGCTTATTTGTTTTTCAATCTCCTCCATTTCAGCCTACCAAAGCATATCCAACAAACACAATCTTATGAAATAAATAATTGATCTCAATAAAAAAATAGACAGGCACATACAATTTTACTAGTAGTATCTTCATTTGAGGCCTTGTACAAACGACCAGGTTTTTTTGTTCTTGTAACCACAAAGAGATCCTTAGATGATACTGTCTCCTTATCTTTCTCCTAGTCAAATTGAAATATATATAAAAAATAAACTCACACTGGAAGAGATCCAAAAGAAAATTTCATTAAAAAAATAATATATAAGAGAACTCACCAGCTTATTACGAACTAAAGCGAAACTCTTTTTGCCAGCAGTGTGTGGATTCATCAGTTTTTTTCGATTCTTTGCATTTGTTTCAGACATTTTCTGCAAAGAAATGAATCAGTAATGTTAATCGAAGGTATCTTAGTGTTATATAGTGTACTAGATGAGGTCAATATTAGTCTGTCTTTCTTTTATAACAGTCTATTTTTCCTTTATAACAATCTGTCAATATCAATCATTATATAGTGTTAAGGTGTCTTGTAAAATGCATGTGACTATCACAATAAATGAAGAAAAAAGCTGCAAAATATTACAATAGAGAAGAGAGTAGAAGAAAAAATAAAGCAGAATATATACTATTATCACACTACTTTAGACACTAAAGTACCAACCAAGCCTCAGGTAAAGCAGAATCAATACTATCATGTCAGCAACACCGATATCACACTATGGACAATTATGTCATAGCAGACAGTGTTGGCACTTTATCCAGATGCTTTAGTACCTATACTATTCAGATGGTTACTATATGTTTTGATTTACTTTTGTAGCAGTCAAAGAGAAGGTTATGCAGGCTTGTACTATTTTTTCTAACAACTTTTAAGTGTTGGGGGTCACTAGGTGGGAAGAAGCTGGGAAGGGAGCAAAAATCCGGAGCTATAATACAAATGCTACTTATTCAAAAAATTGAGATTCTGAACTACATTTTTACCTTGAATTTTTCAGAATTCCAATATTTGAGGAGCTCTTTAAATTGACATTCTGGAATATGACCAGGCTTTTTTGCCATTCGAACTGCATCATTGTCATATGGATCGTAATAATTAAGCTTCAAATCACTTCTATGTCTTCTCCAAGCATCTTGAATTGTTACCATAGCTCAATGGTACGCAGCTTCAGAAATAATATATTTTCCCTATAATTTTGTGTCATTCAATTAGCCAATAGAAGTAAAATACTTTTACAAATAATTTATTATTGTAAACTACAAACCTTGGTATAATCCCATAAATCCTTTTTAGTGTCCATGCTCCTCCAATCCAATATATCAAATGGTCAAAGAGCCGCATTTCTAGCCAATGTTCCTAGGAAGCTACTTAGCTCTATGACAACATCATCCGTACGACCAACAGGTTTACTTTGACTATTCAGTATGATCAACTTACATTCTTTTCGGGCATGAACATCATACATTTGCGTTCTACCTCTTTTATTTGAAGTGGAAACATCTCCAGCTATAAGAAAATACAAGAAATATAATTAAAAATTATGAATACATAGAATAGGTTTGTAATCTTATATGTTACCTTGTTCTTCAGGTTGATCATTTGTTCGAGGAGTGACAAAATTCATTTGCACTTGATCCTCGAAAGGAAAATCTTTTCCATGCTGCTCAAGAGGCAGCTCCTCGACAGGCTGCACAAGAGGCAGCTCCTCGACAGGCTGCACAACAAGCAGCTCCTCGACAGGCTGATTTTCAAAAGACAACTCCTCGACAAATTGTCTTTTTGCTTCAGATTGTGGTGCTACTGATTGTTCTGCTCCAATTAATTTGAGCAGATGTCCTTTCTCGCACTCTATTTCTTTAATAATTTCATTTGTTGTCAATAACCATCGTTTCTTGTTTGCCAAGAATGATAACGATCCCGGTTTAGCAAATGTCTTCTTTTTGGCTTTTTTGGTTCTTTTTGAAGTTTCTTGTTGACTCATAGCTATGACTATTCAAACCTGTGTGAAAATAGAAATTAAAAAGTTAAAATGTATGGCAGTGTACACCTGCAATACTTAAACAAATCAATCACCAAGATATTACAAATAGCTGAAAATAAAATGTACCCTTAAGGGACATTCTAATAATATTTTCTGCACTCAATCACATTCAGTAGGTTTATTACTGTTCACAATCACACACAAGATTTAGAGTGTTTTTAGGTGCCAATTGGTGAAACTATAAGAGAGCAACAAGTTTGTTACTGTCCACAATCACACACAGTAGGTTTGTTACTGTCCACAATAATATTTTCTGCACTCAATCACATTCATAGAATGTACATTAAGTACTCAAAGAGAGAACGAAGCTGGAGTGTTGGACCTTAATAAAGAGATAAGAGCCTAGTGATTTGCTGGTCCACTAATATATTGAAATTGCTCAGAGAAACTGCAAAAAGAAGAAGAATGAAAATGATCAATAAGAGAGAAAAAGGACTTACCAAAACTAATAATCCAAAAGTTGTAGTAATTTAACGATAACATGAAGAAAAAAAACATAGAAATAAAAAGAAGAGATAGCAAATACAGTTTACTCAACATTCATAATCTATATGATGCATCTCAAATGATATTCATTACTTACTATAAGAAAAAAAAACATAATGTATTTGAACAAGTCCACAAGATCCTTTGTCAATCATCAACATCCATCCAATCCTAATCAGTATCATCAAAGTCATTCTCCTCTTCCGATGTTTCCATAGCTTCATCTTGTGAATGTTGTGCAATGGAAGGAGCATCGATGATATCAACAGGAAGATCTTCTCTAGACCATCTAACATCTACATCAACTAATCTTTCTGATGAACCAATATCATCATTAGGCTCTCTCCAAAATGTTTCTTCAATATTAGGACAATTATCTTCCTCCAAATCATACAAATCCACAGGGACTTTGTTTCTTGCATAATAAACATTTTTCTCAACCGGATCTTCCACATAAAAAACTTGATGCACTTGAGATGCTAGTACAAAAGAATCATTTGTACTACATTTTTTGTTGAAATATACCCGAGTCAATCCATAATCATCGACTTCATTATGAAACCAATCACAATTAAAAAGTACAACAATAAAGCAACCCCAATAATAAATCTCAATGATATCCTGAATAATTCCGTAATAGAGAACCATTCCTTCAACAGGATTTTGGTCCCCTAGCACTAGCAAAACTATCCGTTGTGGCTGACAAAGTCACTCCACTATTCTGAGTTTTACAAGGGGTATCCCGTGTCTTCGTATGAAATCGATATCCATTAATGAAATATCCAGTATATCTTTTTGCCACAAAGTTAGGCCCTTTAGCTAGCCATTTTAAGTGATTGGACACTTCAATATTTTTAACTTTTTCATTAAACCAATCACCAAATTCTCTACTATGGACCTGTGTTTTTACCCATGCATTGCCTCTAGTACGATTATCAGTTAAGCTCTTATGTTCCCTGTAAGCATGTAATGTAATTTAATCAATGTGTATTTACAAATGAAATGAAATTTGAAATACATTATCATAACATCTAAATGAAGTTTAAAAACAAACGAGTATTTTATCTTACTTGATAAATGCCTGTACTTGTTCATCTCCTGTATTGAACAAAGTATATCGATGTGCTTCAAACAACTCATGCTGCTCCATGTTAAAAATCTTGCCTTTCCTTATATTCTCACTTCCAATTGGATGACTTGTCTTAGGAAATAAATGTGAAACACCACCTTCCTTTGTTTGAATGTATTCATCATCCTCTATTTCACACCTACTTAATTTTGTCTTCATCGTATTAGGTAGGTATATGGAAATAAAGTTCAAACAATCTACAGCTGAAAAACCTTCTACTATTGAGCCTTCGGGATTTTTTCGATTACGAACAAGCCCCTTGAAGTCACACATAGTTCTCTCTGTAGAATACATCCAACGCAAATGAGTTGGGCCTCCAGGCTTAATTTCATCTACTAGATGGATAGGTAAATGTGTCATTATATCAAAAAAGGATGGAAGAAAAATCTTTTCAAGCTCACATTCAATAATATATGATTTCTGCTTTCATCTTATAAAGATCGCTTCTTCTTATAACCTTGCTACATGTGGCTCTAAAAAAATTTCCCAATCTAATCAAGACCATAGCTACATTCTTGGGTAACACTTTTCTGACTGCAACCTGGAGCAAGTAATGCATTATGAAATGAGCATCGTGACTTTTGTATCCTGATACTTTCATCTCTTCAATTTGCACACGACTTGATATATTAGAAGCACACCCTTTTGGTAATTTGGCATCTTTTAAGACGGTGCAAAATAACTTTTTCTCATCTGGTGTCATAGAGAAATAAGCTTTAGCTAGATGGATATTTCCTGTATCACAATCTTTTAGAGGATGAAGATCTTTACGTATCCCCATTTCATACAAGTCATAGCGAGAATTTATATGATCTTTTTTTACTTTCCAGGTATATCCAATAAAGTCCCAAGCACACTGTCACAAATATTCTTCTCTATGTGCATCACATCAAGATTGTTCCTCAATTTGTTTGTTGCCCAATACGGTAACTCAAAAATATGGATTTTTTCCCATGGACCATCATTCTTTCGTTTTCTTTTCTTTTTGTTATTTCCAAATACATTATTGAATTCACGAAGCTCTTCAAGAATTTGTGCACCTGATAATGGAGTAGGTGCAACTTTATGCTCCTCTTTATCATTAAATGATCTTTTATCTCTTTTGAATGGATGATCATGAGGTAAAAACGTCCAATGACCCAAGTAACACATCTTGCGACTATGTTTGAGATATTGGGAACAAGTATTATGGTTACAAGTGGGGCATGCCCATCTCCCCTTGGTGCTCCATCCAGAAAGCATTGCTAGAGCTGAAAAATCACTAATTGTCCACAATAAAGCTGCATGCATTAGAAATGTTTGATTAGTTACAGCATCATATGTTTCAACTCCCACTTCCCATAGTTCCTTCAACTCCGCAATCAGTGGTTGTAAGTATACATCTATATCATTTTCGGGAGACGATGGACCTGGAATAATCATTGACAGCATAATATTCTCCGACTTCATGCAAGTCCATGGAGATAAATTATAGTTCATCAACATAACTGGCCAAGTGCTGTGGGAAATGCTCATAGTTCTGAATGGATTGAAACCATCACTTGAAAGACCCAATCTAACATTACGAGCATCATTAGCAAAGTCAGGATGCAATGAATCAAAATCCTTCCAAGCTTCACCATCTGCAGGATGTCTTAAATTTCCATCTATAAGTTGTTCAGTATCATGCCATCTCATAGCTACAGATGTTTCAGAACACATGAATATCCTCTGAAGCCTAGGTTTTAAAGGAAAGTACCTTAACACCTTCACTGGGATTTTCGTAACCTTGTTATTTAAGTCATTATGAACATTCTTCCATCTTGAAGCTCCACACACAGAGCAATTATCTAACTTTGCATTGTCATTCCAAAATAATATGCAATCATTAGTGCAAGCATGTATTTTCTCATAATGAAGACCCAAATCTTTTATGACCTTTTTTGCCTTGTAAAACGAGTCGGGTATCTGAGCAAATGGAAATGCCTCTCTTATCAAGTCCAACAAATCTGAAAAGGACACATCAGTCAACTTGTGAATGCATTTAAACAAGTATAGCCGGATGGTAAACTCAACTTAGAAAAATTCTTACACCCTGGATACAACTCTTCTTTCCCTTCCTCCACTAATTTAAAAAATCTCTTTGCATCTTCATGTGGCCCCTCCCTCACTCCTTCATGTCTCTGATCATCTACTATATTTCTAAAAGTATCATGAAGTTTTATATCAATGTCGTCATGCATGTTAGAAGTTTCTTCTTCATCGGTTGGATGTGGCGTATTTCTTGAGGAAAATCCTTCACCATGAAAAACCCATTTGGTGTATCCATGAACAAATCCATGGCAAATCAAATGATCCTCTACCATATTTCGGAAATGCCAATTACGATTAAAGCACTTCTTACAAGAACACAATATTTCATTTCCTTGGGAAACTCGTTCAAATGCTTTATCAAGAAAATCATTAACTCCATCAATATATTCATTGGTGGATCTTCGGAGATTCATCCAACTTTTATCTCCAAAATCCGTTGAATATTTATCCTACATGACATGTGCAAAACATTAAAGCCAATAAATTCATGCGTACAAATAATATCGGCAGAACTTAACAACTCAAACTTTTAGATTAATCGAATCTCAAACCTTCACATCAATTCAACAACAAACAATTACAACACTAATAGTAGAACCAAAAAATATTGAGAAGTTAAGTTATTAGCAGCTTCCACCATTTAATAAACTTTATACAAATGAATGACTAAAGGCACACGCAAACACATTTCAAAGCAATAAGGGAAGACCTAGATTAGAGTAAATAACATACATTATAGCAATAGACTACAACAAGTAAACAAAATAACTATCAATACATTAGTTTTGATTCTAGCAAAACAGTTCATGTAATCGTAAAACAATAACAAAGTTGATTGTTCACATGGAAAAAGTAGTTCGGACAAACCATAACAACTCATATTCTCTTTATAAAAAAAATACAAGGGAGTTAGCTGGTCAATCTAACAACTAGCTACCATATAGCAGAAAATTTTTATTTCAATTTCTTACCAATCAGCCTTCTCGGGTTCCAAACGAACTACTTCAAAAATCCTGAAGTGTTACCTTTGGGTCTGTACCAGCCAAGCCTATAAATAACATAATCACACAATATTATTAGGAAACCAAGCCAAAGAGAGGAAAAAATATAAGAGATATAAGTCCAAGATAAGTAGCTTAGCTTATAAAACTCCATCAAAAAATTTCTTTTTTTTAATCACACATAAAAAAAAAAACAGTGGCACAAAGACAAGGACTATATTTTCATGACAAGAGCAGTATAACCTGATTGAATTATTTCTTTGTTTAATGAGACTGAGGAATCTTTTGCAGATGAATACAACAATTGCAATTGAGGATGTAAGGAGAGAAGTTAAAATATTGCGCGCTTTAACAGGACATAGGAATCTGGTTCAATTCTATGATGCCTATGAGGACGGGGAAAATGTTTATATAGTCATGGAGTAAGTTGAAATTGTCAACCTTAATGCTGCTTTTAGTTGTGTTTCAGGGTAACTTGTCATTCTTCAGCATTCTGACATAAAAGAATTTGTTTTATTTGGTCTACATCCTTCCAAATGTTTGCATGGCTTGTCGTATTATCATAAGAGAAATCTATTTAGTTTATCATTTTTGTCTTTTATGTTTTCTGCATTTGTTTGTACTTATCTTTGTAAGATCTTCTTCAGGTTATGTAAAGGAGGAGAATTGTTGGACCAGATACTTGCAAGGTGGGTACTTAAAATATTTTCAGCTTAGCATGCTTGGTATTCTCCTATGTGAATTTCCTGACTCCAGTTTCTTTTGAAGGGATGGGAAATACTCGGAAGACGATGCCAAAGCTGTCATGGTACAACTTCTAAGCGTGGTCTCGTATTGTCATCTTCAACGGGTTGTTCATCGCGACCTAAAGCCTGAGGTAATGGAGTTATTTTTAATCTACATATAACACTCAAATATTCATTTGCAATGAACACTCTACTTATGTTTAGAACTTCTGAATGAACCTAAGGAATAGAGTGAAGTTTACTAGTTTGCACAAATTTTGTTGATGGACATTAAGAGC